AACTTGAACGCGGTGTTCGGTTCAGGCATTTCCCGAACCCCGAACCTGAACCTGCGTTCAGGTTCAGTTCGGTGTTTGAACCTGTTCGAACGTGAACAAAATTCGGGCATCTCGGGGGTGCAAAAACTCGGTCAGAGGAGCATATATAGGCTATGTCTGTTCACCTACCTTACCAGGAGATCATATGGACCTGTTATATGAATTCAAAGTGGGCCACATCCACCATAAAAATCCAACACTCAAACGCGGCAACATTACTCGAACCCCAAGGGGAAAAACTCACCATCAGGTGAGCTCTGATATAACCGACCCTCTGTGTAGCATGCACTGAGAAGAATAAATGCAAAAACTGACCTTCAAGCACCAAAATTTCCGAGAAATTCCTGCGAAAGGGGGCAAATAGGTTCGGGGTTCGGTTCGGGTTTGATCTTGGCCTTGACGGCGCGAACACCGAACCTGAACGCGGAGTTCGGTTCAGCCATTTGCCAAACCTGAACGCCGAACGCGCATCTGGTTCAGGTTCGGTTCAGGTTCGGACCGATTTCCGAACCGAACCTTGCCACCACTACTGCTGAATACTATTTCAACCAGGGGAGTGAAGGCAGGCGTGTTAACCATTACACCATCAGGCCCACACTCAGGCTGACCTTCTTTGCTAGGTATAATTCCGAAACCTGGTTACTGCAAGCAAAATATAATGGATCTGGAATTTTGAAATCTCAGTTGACTGTCGAACCACTCCTGGGTAGTAAGTAATGACTCAAGGACCATGTCTCATGTTGTTTATGTGAGCCCGAAGTGTGCCCGGGGGGCTTACTAATTGGCTTACTCATTCTCTCCGAGAGTGCAGATACATGTAGAATATTCTAGCTACTACTGTGTAGTATATAAGGTAGCCACTGGTGCCTACAGCCCCAGTGGATTGTAACCCAGACCTAACAGTCGAGTGAACCAAGCATACCGATCAGCCCAAATCACAACACAATCCACTGCTTGGCGCACTACTTGGTTTCCCGCGTCCTCATCATCTTCCCAGTACCCGCATCATCATCATGTCGACATCCATTAACGTCAACAACCTTCTTTCCTCCGTACCGAAGCTCACTGGCAGCGGCAATCATGGCAACTGGAAATTTGCCATTGCCATGGTATTGCGCCGTGCTGGCCTTTGGAGCATCATTCAGGAGTGGATCGACAAGCCGGCAGACCCGGACACAGTTAGCTCAGATGACGCACCTGCGGCTTCGAGTACCCGTGGGCGGCGAGCTAAGGCGGCAGAAGACAAGGCCAAGGAGTCCGAAGAAATTCTCACCATCATCGGGCTGACGATTGATCCGTCCCAGTACCAGCACATTGCAGAGTGCACAGATGGCGTTGAAGCGTGGGCAAAGTTGGCGGAGATCTATGAGAAAGACTCCCGACCTAGCCGTATTGCGCTTAAACGTGACTTCTACACTTTTGCGCACAATACCATGAAGCCTATTCAGGATTATGTATCCGGGATCGGGCGGCTGGCCTCGGCATTACGAGCAATCAATGTCAAGATTGACGCTCGTGATGAAGTGGACGTGATGATCTACAACCTGGACCCCGCATGGGGAAGTATTGCCTCGACATTGACAGCATCGTCCGTTGAACTAACCGTCGCGGATGTAACCGGCGCGCTGTTGGATGAAGAGAAGAGGCGTGGTGGAGCACCAGACGATGGCAGTGTTGCTATGGTAGCTTACCGGAAGAAAAAGTTCTCGGTTACTTGCTTCAAATGCCACCAGAAAGGGCATGTCGCGAAGAACTGTCCATCAGGGCAGAGTGTTGGGAAGGCACACTTGGCGATGACAGAAGCATTTGCATTTTAGGATCACGCCGGGCTAGGGAACGGAACGGCTCCAGGGGGAGCGGCCAAAGGTTGGCAAAGCTGAGTGCTCGTTACTAGCGGATTCTAGGGAACTAGTTTTAGATATTTTGTTTTTGCACACTTGCAGGCTCAAGGGGGAGTGTTGTTTATGTGAGCCCGAAGTGTGCCCGGGGGGCTTACTAATGGCTTACTCATTCTCTCCGAGAGTGTAGATACATGTAGAATATTCTAGCTACTACTGTGTAGTATATAAGGTAGCCACTGGTGCCTACAGCCCCAGTGGATTGTAACCCAGACCTAACAGTCGAGTGAACCACATCAGCAAACCCTGGTTTTTCCCATAGTTGGCTGTAGCTCTCTGTAGTTCATATAGTTTTGGGCCATCTATGTAGTACTATGTAGTTTGCTGTAGTTTGGGGGTTTCTATGTAATATTATGTAGTTCCATGTGTTCTATGTAGTACTATGTAGTTTCGGCTCAGTTACGTAGTTCTATGTAGTTTAATAGGGGCACTATGTAGCACTATATAGACCACCCATTTGTCTTGGATTTTGTATAGTGGATTATATTGGTCAAAGGAGAAGAGGATCAACAATATTGTGTAGTGCAAAGTAGTTCAGGTGAATTCTGATGACTGAATGTGGTTGTTCTAACCTGTCAAAACTCATTATGAATGAGTGGGTATATTGAAGCGAGGTGTGGTTTGTCCTTTGAGTCACCAAAAGTCCTGGTTTTTAATTGTTCTGGCTTTCAAAAGTGTCGTGTCTGGGAAAGTATTTTGTGTTTTGTGCTTCAACTAAGCTGTTTAAGGAAAATTTGTGCTAGGCAACTCTTATAGCTTTTTTCGAGCACTACAACTTTCGTTTTGGGTCTATTTTTAGTTCTGCAAAGATTTTTCAGAGTTATTTACCAGGGAAGCATTCATTGTCACAGAAGAGTGAGTGGCAAGGCAAGAACTTGAAGAAGTTACTCGGAGAAGTAAACTGACCCCGAGATTAAAGGGTACCCTTATTGGAATGGTGGCCGTGTACCTATAATGGTCTCTTAGTCTAGTTGGTAATGCACCTTCTTCCGTCTTTTGTCTGAACACGCGAGGTCGCGAGTTCGATCCTGTCAAGCAGCAGTTTAATTTAATTAGATATAGAATAGATCTGTAGTCAACGATGGCACGGTACAATCTTCGATTAGATGTAAGTTCAAATGAAGAGCCTTGAACAGTAAAGGAACTAACACGAATAACAATAAATTTTCTTAATAAAACCCCCGTTCCCAGAGGAACTACGTAGAACCCCCCAAACTACATAGAACTACGTAGAAACCCCCTGAACTACGTAGAACTACATAGAGGGTACCCTTGCTACAGAACTACAGGAACTACGTAGTACTACGTAGCACTACGTAGCAAACCCAGGGTTTGCTGATGCAAGCATACCGATCAGCCCAAATCACAACATCTCAAACCCGTAATTCGGTGCTCTAGTCATGTCAGCTGTACACTTTTTTTCAAGTTACGTCTGCATCGAGGCGGGTGTGAGCCATGATTAAATCTAGTAATCAACTTGCCTGGTTTATTTAGTTTGTGCTGCCAGTGCAGGTGAAAAAACCTCCCCAAAGCTGCCAGTGGATTTTGCTCAATTTATTGGGTCTCTCCAAACTTTTTCAAAAATTGGTAATTTAACACCTCTGAACTTGAGTTCTGTCTCTTCAGAATAACTTTTTATGGTCCAGAGGCTAAGCTGTGAAAAAGTTGATTTTGGCGGGGAATTGATGGCTTGACACAGCCACCCGATCGGCACCCTCGGCCCCCACCAAAAATTCAAACTCCGGGCGCAGCCCTTTGGCGTGGGCCAGTGCCGCGTGGCCCGAGTTGTACCAGTCTGCCTACGGCAAACAACCTCATCACTTTCCTTTGCCGTAGCGCAGGCTGGTAACGAGTCTAGGTACCTACTATTAGTCTGCGAATGCAGAGGTACCTACTCTGACACATAGCTACACATACGGCTACACATAGTCATCTGCGTGGGTACCTGCACTTAACTAAGTGCAGACGCTCGCAGAACGCAGTGCTTGTTTGTTCAATTCCCATGTCCCAAATCAGGTTTGAAAATTATACCCAACTCAGAAAAGTGCAGGGGATTCAAAGGTGAACATGGGCTTGACAATTCCTTCTGTGCTCTGCTACGGATCCCTCGGGCCCAAGGTTATCCAATAGACTGGCATCAAATTCAAGTTCCTCTTTCCTTCACTCAGTGGAGTTCATTTTTGCAGTCCCTGATCACACCAGGGGCAATCACCGTGGAAGGCATTTCTCAGCTTCCGGCAAGGAAGGTGTGCAGGAAGCTGCACCCCGGCATGTGTCTTCCAACAAATCATTCCCATGGGTCACATGAATGGCCGGCAATGCGGGAATCATTATGTGGCTTAGACCCGGCACGTAGGCACCGTTACCAGGGCCGGTTCGGGGGACTGCTCCTATGCCGGGAGCCGAATGTCCCGGCAGCATGAGGCAGTCCATCAATGGACTATGCCCAGCCCCTTCCCACGTTGGCATCTTGTGGCACCTTCCTGCACAGGTACTTGTTAGCTTCCCTGCCAGAAGCTGAGGTGCAGCTTCCATGGACTTTGCCTCCGGTGTGAGAGGCGGGTCTTGTCTTGAATTCGAGTTGGGTTTACGGGTGGTTCAACCGTGGGAAACCAAGGCCTCAAAGAAGTTACATCCCTGTTCTTGGTTTGCTCTATGTTAACACGGAACTTCTTTGTTCAGCACTGACCTGATGATGGTGTAGCAATTATTTTGTAAACATGGCTGCTTCAATTTATTTCTCTACCAGGCAAATCACTGTATATGCAATCGATGATTATTTGATGTTTATATCATAAATATTTTGGCTTTATGTGAGGTTCAATTATTTTCTGTTTGGGTGCTCACTACTCTCCTTCCCCATTTGTCCCCGGGTCTCACCAACATTATGACTGCAAAAGGTGAGTGCGGTCTTTTTGTTGAAGTCTGACTCAAACCATAGCACTTGGTGTTCTGTGCTATCCGAGTCACGACTCAAGCTTGAAGTTGAACTCTCCCGGTCAACTGAAACAGCTCACTATCCCAGCCTCCGGTGCAGGCCAGGTATTACAGCAGGCTTGCTATGACTCCATGGTGTAATGGTTAACACACCTGACACAATTAAAGCTGTCCGCACATAAGCATGCATTCGGGAGGTCCCTGTTCGATTCGGGGTGGGGTTATGAAAACTTTCGAGCGGTGTTTTGTTCATTTCTTCGTTTTGCTACTACCTTTCTCTAGGCATGCACAGTACTTATGTGGTTGTGACTGAGTCCTGAAGGTGAGCCGTCCGAATTGAGTGACTGGTGCAATTGCGGGCATAACTGGATGCTTCAAGTTTATTATCGGCGCTGAGTATGATGGACCTGATGGTGTAGTGGTTAACACGCCCGCTTAAGATAAGCCGAGCCTAACCTGTTCAGCGGGAGTCCCGGTTCGAACCCGGGTCAGGTCATGGTCCATTGTTAATAACGACACGTTTTTTGCGCTTAGGGCCAGTGCCGCGTGGCCCGAGTAGTACCAGTCTGCTTTTTTACGGCAAACAACCTCACCCTCTCTTTTGCTGTAGCGCAGACTGGTTACGAGTCTAAAGCTCACCTAGGAACACCAAGCATAGTTGCCTATGCAGCTCTGTAAATAGCTGCACAGAGAGCTGTGTGTAATCTGCTAGACAGAGGCTGTCTAGTTACCTATGCTCACCTACAGATCTGCAAATAGCTGCACACAGTAAGTTTAGGAGACCTCGGAACACAGTGAAGTTGAAACAATAGAAAAATCAATCATGACTTGTTGGATGCGGGGAGTCAACCCCGCACTTTATCCTTCATTATGTGGAGGTCATTGTGACTGGCTAAGACAGCTCACTGAGCTGTGAGTTCTTGGAGGTAAAAATAAATACATAAATTCTCCAAGTCAGCAAGCATGCTTGCATAAATAAATAAGTACACAAATATCTTAAAAGAATGGAAACAATTATGTAATCATCAATAGAACTCAGACCACCACCAACACAGCCTGCTCTTCTTCCAACTCGCTCTCATATAAATCCTCATCAGCCTCCTCCACCCTGTCTGAAGAAGCACTCAACTCAGTGAGTCTAGCCAAGTTCCTTTTGTGCTGTTCCTTGATATCCTCACCAATCCCAACCAGCCTTTCATCAATATGCTGAACCCGCTTAGCCTGTGATGAGCGCTCAAATAGTGGCCTTGCTTGTTCCCACACCTCCAGGGCCTTCAAGAAATCACCATGTTTGTTGGATATGTCCCCAAGCCGGATCATGCACTCTGCTCTGCTCTGGTGAACATCCATCTGGCTGAAGCCCTCTAGAGCAAGAGTAAACAAAGATGCGGCTGTGACCTCATCCTCCTCCCGGAGAAAAACATCACCCAAGGATTGCAAGGCCTTGTAGATTCCTAGCTGCTCTTTTGTATTGCAAGAATGTGCAAAAAACACCGTAGCCCATGAGGTTGAATAATGAGACCCTTCCCACTGATTGCTGTCTGCCAGCCTCTCAAGGCAGAAGCCCACGGCCTCAGAGTAGTTCCCCCACACAGCTTGAAGACATTGAAGGAATAATGTCCTTGACATATCCCCCTCTCTGAGGTTGAGATCTGCTTGAATGGCATCACATGCATTAATTAACATTGTATTGTTACTTGCTCTGCAAATGACTTGTGATGCCTTAATTTTCTTTTCAATCTCGGTCTTCGAAACCCCCAGCAAGATCTCGATCCCAGCAATATTCATTAAGGCAAAGCCTTGCTGATTACTATCATCAGCTGTTGCTTGGAGAATTTGACTCTGGATGTTGTGTGCCTCAACATATTCTGATTTGAGCTTGTGAACTTCAGCCTGAACTCCCATGAACGTAGTGTTAGCCTGCCCATGGGACAGACCACATAGACTTAGCGCTGTTCTACCCCTCATGATGAGAGTAATGCACTCTCTGTAATCCCCTTGTGATATTAAGGAGAGGGCCTCGCTGTATAGTCCGCGTGCCTCCCTGTGCATATCTCCAGACATTCTGGCAAGTCTCTGCACCTCCTGTGCATAGGGTTGACCAGCAGCATGGTCCCCAGCAGTTATCTGAATGTATCCAAGGATGTCAAGTGCATCACATTGCCTCTTGAGATTTCTATTGGCTTGTGCCAAGGAGAGGGCAATCTGACAATGGTGTAAAGCTGTGGAGATGTTGTTGTGTTGGAAGTAGTAAGACCCTAGACTACAGTGAAACCGGGCTGGGAGATAAAGTCTGAGTTTTTTATTTTATCGTATTGAACAGAGAACACACCTTCAAGGTCAGGATCATTGAAGCACTTGAAGTGGTTCAAGGCCTCAACCATCAACAGCTCTGGATGGGTGATTGGATGGTGGCGCCATGATCGGAATAGTTCAGTCATTATATATGCCGTCAACCGATGATCTCCTGAGGATAAAAGGGTGTTGCTGATATCCTCAAGGAGGAAAGTTGCTCCACGTGAAATATGCTGACTGAAGTCACTGAAATCACACGCACAGTAAGCAACATCCACAATATTGGAATACTCCCTCCGTAAACCATTTTGGAGGATATTTTGAATGTTTGTATAATTTGATGTTATCCGATTGATAGGACCCCTGCAAAGTCTCGTGCCAGCAGTTGCCTTGTATGCTTCCAGAAGTTCATGAAAGTGTTTAAACATTGGTTGCATCATCTCCTCTGTGGGGGGGAGCAGTTTGCCTATATATTCCCTAATGGGCACTAAGACCTTCAGCCGCTTGTGGCCATCAGTGTAGGCCAGAGCTGTACGCAACAATGTAGCTTTACAACCAAGGATATCTGTGATTGGGAATTTTGTTTGCCTGAGCTCTACATCGGAAAGGCCATCCGGCAGCATGGATAGTAGGGCCAACAGATCCTGAGCCTGTGGCGTGGAAGCAATTCTGGGGCTTGAGAGGGAGAGTGAGATTGATAACTCCAGGTTGGAACTTCTATCGCAGCCCTCTGAAATAAGTGTGGTCTTCTCTGTCCCCCACCGGAATAATATGTCTTTGCAGCCTTCTATGTCTGCCAGATGGGCCAGGAGGCTGATTGAAAGGGGCATATTGTCTGTGAGAGAAAGGACCTGGTCCACATCTTCAATTAAATGCTTGTCATCTGCAATATCGAGGAACATCTTTCGAGCAGCATCCTGTGCCAAGGGCAGCAAGGGCAGTAAGAATGGCCTGGTCCATTGCACTTTAGATGGCCTCTCTGCTCCACGCATTGTGATCTGGTGCTTCATGAGTGAGATGGATGAGAAAAAAGAGAATCTACAAACCACCAAAGCTAAGCTGTTTATGTCTGTGAGAAGAGAGAGAAACTCTTCAATGTCTTCACGGGATTTTGTTGGCTCCCACACGGTTTCCAAGTTATCCAGAATGAGCAGACTGGCTGGACTACTGGAAAAGTGCTGCAAGACTGCCCGAGTGAGGTCTTTGCCAGATTTCAGACCTAGATGGGCTCCAATGAGACCTGCAAGTTCTGGTTTGCTTGATGCAGTGTCACAGGGAACAAAGAACCGATTTCCATGGTATTTGGTGGCAACTTCCTCATGGTGAATCACTGTCCTTGCGAGGCTAGTCTTTCCCATTCCCCCAGCACCTAAAATAGCAATTCGGGGAGTGCCCTGCCTGAAGAGCTTGAGAATATTTGCCAGCTCTGAGTCGCGACCATGGAATATCTTTGGCTCTGCTGGGAGCATTGAAATGGAGTTTGAACTGCAAGATTGATAAATAACTAAGAAACAGGGTTATTGGAAGGAAGCACCTTGCATATGATCCAGAATACATGTTGCTTATCTGGGTAGCTGTTAATACTGATACACTCAAAGAACCTGCCACATACAGAGGATGCTGTATCTGAACTAGGCAAAGTTTCAATCATGTTGAGTATCTCTTGGTGTCTGAGTTGAGCCTGGTCTTGCATCTCCCTCACATCGGTCATCATGTTGACAGTTTTGATCTTGGAAGACTATTAGTTGGCACATGAGTTCAGTATGAAGACTTACATTGAAGAAATCAAGTGCCTGCTGCAATCCACCCTTGCAGTCTTTGAACAAAGCAGCCAGTTCTCCCTGGCGGAAAAATCTCCTGACTTTACTACCACTTTGTTGAGCCTCAATAAAGGTATGAATTTTGTGGAGGGTCCTAAATTGTTGCAGTGAGAAATGTAAATGGGCTGCAGGTATGTAATTACTCAGTGGATTTTACAATCTGATTCAAAGTGCTTGGTGGCAATTCTGGGCCAGTATCTGACTTGATGTATACCCCGATAATTGCCTTGAGCAATTCATGAGTGTGCTCCATCAACTCAGCACAATCACCCTTGCTTTGTTTGACACTCTTAAAAAAAAGTTTGATGTCAAAATTTCCTGAAATCCTGACTCAAGGGGAATGTACCTTCACCAATTCCAGAAGGGAGTGCATGGTATTTGAGATGGCTTCCAGACCAGGAATATTGAGAGTGTTTACAAGGACATCCAGAGTGTTAGTTGTGGTGGCCACACACTCTGAGATGTTGTTCAAACGAACTTCAGTTATACTCGGTTGACGGGGCATGTTAGGATGGTCAAGTCATGGCGTGAGTCACCGGAACTTTATAGTACAAGGAGCCAGGGAACTTTTAGTCTCATTGGCTGTTGTCGATCTTCCTCTTCTATGAGTCGGATGACACATCTAACCATCACTGTAATATTGGACCGGGTCCGTGATATGTCCCAGGCCCATGTCAGGTGTTCACTCGGCTCGGTGCTCATTCCTCGGCAATCACCCGAAATTACCATAGATGGACGGCCGGCCGAGATTTCTTGACAGTATTTGAGCCCAAAAATTGGAATGTCGCCGTTACATGCACCAAATTTGGTCAGTTCGCGGCCCTCCGTCACCCGTCGCTTGAACATTTGGTCAAAATACTGCCTCCCGACGGTGAACCGTCCGAATTGAGTATCGTATCGATATCGTGCAATTGCGGGCTCGCCCGGATGCGGATGTTGTATTATCGGGAACGAGGAATCATCGACCTGATGGTGGAGTGGTTAATACGCCCGGATTAAATAGATTTGTCCAGGAGAATCTCAACAAATGAACGGGAGTCCCCGGTTCGAACCCGGATCAGGTCATTCATCACGATCTCCCTTTTTGCGCTCAGAACTTTTGTTTTTGCATTTCCTTCTGTCAGCACGACGCCATTATAAACAGAGCCTGCAGCACAAACTGTAAAATAAACCAGGCACGTTGATTTAATCGTGGCTCACACTCGCGGTGCCTCGATGCAGACGTAACTTGAAAAAAAAAAAGTGCGCAGCTGGTATGATCAGAGCGTGCCAAGGTGATTTCGACAATTTACGGGTTTGAGACCTGTCAATGGTCCTTGAGTCACTACACAGAACCATTATATTTTGTTTACAGTAGCCAGATATCACGGTCATACCTAGCAAAGAGGATATGTGGATCTGATGGTGTAATGGTTAACACGCCTGCTTTAATTAACACTATATTGGTAAAGTTCAGCAGGAGGTCCCGGTTCGATTCCGGGTCAGGTCTTATCGGGTTGGGAATGTGCTGGTTTTTGTCCTCCATTTTCTTCCAGATTCCTTTCGCTCCAGCCCCGTTGCTCTCTCCCTAACAGTCCACTCGAAGTTGTGGTCAAGTCAGTGCAACTTGAGTCTTATTTTTGGAGGGGTAGGCTGATCGAATCCGGATCAACGCGGGCCGGACGGGCTCTGCTTTCTTCGATCTCCCAAGTGCGATTCTTGGCGCGCGGTACGCGCAGAGTTTGTCCTCTACGCACGATGCAAATATATGCAGCATCCTCTCTCTAGTCTTGCTTGATGCGCGGCTGGGCTGTCCCCCAATGCATTACCCAAGTCGGCCAGGACGACCGCAAGCACGCGGGCACGCGTCTTCGCTGGAATTAATATTGTGTCGCCCTAGTTCTGAGCAAGCACCGGAGTTTGAGCCGAATTTTCATCGGCCGATATGACGCGGAAACATGATGTTTTGGCAAAATATTAGCGAAATATTATCGTGAATATTAGCGCACTGTTATTCGTACAATACATCGCATATTAGCGCCATGTCCTCGCTGTTTTCATCCGACGGACTTGGCAAAATCCAAAGTTTCTTCGAGGCGCGAACGGTCACAGGTCACATAGTGACACTCTTTCCTTCATCTCCCATGACGCGGCACGCCGTTCTCGTTCATCCCTCACCCTCACCTCCTGAAACTTGGGGTGGCTCATCCCATCATCTCACCCCTCCACTACCTCGAATTCCTGTCCAAGATCTGCAAAATTGCACGAACGACTGTCCAGTTCAATTCGGCGTAACTCTTCCTTTCATTTGACGATTTTGAGCTATTCTCAGGCCTCTGATATGCTTTACCTGTCTTCCCGGCACGTTCACTCACCCGCAGCAACCGGCCGAAGTTTCATAGGAACGGAAAGTCTCCCAAAATCCGTTGCTCGCGTCGGGTGCCAATAAGAAGGGAAATGTGAGTACTAGGTATCGCTTTACGACCAATCCGCTCATACCAGCTCTCCTCAGGCGTGCTGTTATGTTAGGATGCCAGGTATGCACACTCTTTATACCCTTCTTGTGTATAACCTGTCATTCGAAGATTCATATGTGCCCCCAAGCTGCTGACGCGTCTCGTACAAGTCTTGTTGGGCTATTCGCTGGCAGTTACGCATCCCGAGGACGTTGATGTACAGGCGATGGAGGTGGACACGGGTAGATGGGCAGACGACTCCGCGGTACGTGTTTGTTTTGGCTCCGCTACGTCTCATCTTCATCCTGCTCGGACTTCGTACACACTTCTGTCCCTCCTCCTACTTTCCCCAATTCGCACCATGTATCTCCCGCACCTTTCTCTACTGTGTTCACTTGCACTATCAACTGACTCCTCATTTTCCAGTGTCTTCGTACTTGCGATCGAGTGTTGGTATACGTTGTTTATTTTTCGACTCGACCATCAACCTTCTTACTTGGAACTTCAGCGCTGAGCCAATCATCAAGTCTTCCCGCGCCGCTCGCCTGCAGCTGCGCTCTCCCGGTGCGCCGTCTCTTCACCCGTTTTTGCAAAGTCTACACCATCAGGTCAATTCGTTTTTAGTCTTGTCGGGCTCTGCGCTAGGCCGAATGGCTGTCAGCGACTTCAACGCACATGCGAAGTACATGGGCACAGCCAGGCGATTCGATAGTGCGCCTTCCATATGTTCTCGCTTTTACATTTCCTCTTACTTTCTGCAATCCTTCCATTGCGCTCCGAGTCTTGTTTACTATGTCTGCCGACTGACTCAGTTTTTTATAGAGTCTTCGCATCCAGGTTCTTCGTCAAGCTCGCGGTTTCGATCGAGTTTCGGTGCGTTATTAATTATCCGACCAAAGTGTCAACTGTCTTACTTGAAATTTCAGCACCGCGTTCACGTAAGTTCGCGCAGTGAGTTTCCATCATTGTCATCCGCCTACTCCGCGTACTTACTACCTGGATTCAGCTCGCTGCCAGAATACCGCAGGTACGTACGTATCCCGTCTTTCCGTCGCAAGTCGCGACTTATAATTATACTGCAGGCGCTGAGCGGCCGTGGAGTGCATGGGCAGATGTAGCTAGGACATGTTGTAGCTAGCTTTTACACTCAGTTTGCTTTTACTTCTCGAGTGTGGTCGTCCTGAGCCAGCGGGGGTTAAATATCAGTAATATACTGTGAGAAAACATCGGACGGAATATGGCGCTAATACGGCGCCAATACGGCGCCAAAATGGCGCCAAAACGGACCGTATCGTCAAAATATTGGCGCGAGGGTATTTCAGCAATACGGCGCTAATATTTCGCTGAAACACCACATATTAGCGGCATATTATCGAGCAAATATTTCCCTCGAACTCCGGTGAAGGTTCTGAGCCAGCGCAGACGTCGCGCGCTCTCACATCTACCGCCGCAGCTCTCCAGTATCGAGGCCGAGCGCTGCGACATTGACACCAGCGCATATTTGCCCGCCCTACGCCCACGCCGACTACGTACACACCTCACTAGCACTGCAGAACTTCCCTTCTTGCCACGCCAGGACCGGTCCCTCTTCCCACTGCCAGCCGCCATCATCGTCCCTCCTTTGCCCTCGTCGTACTCCATCCGCATCCGCATCCGCATCCGCATCGCCTACCCACTCTATGCGCGCGCTAACGCAATGCTGGCTCTTCTGGCCGCGCTAACGCATCGTCAATGCACACGGCATGCTCCTCCGTAACGCGTTCGGTAAGCTCGTTTCTCCACTTCCACGGCGACCGGACTGACCTGTCTTATGTGTTCCTTCCCTCAGGCCTCACGCTGCAGCCCGCGCGCGGCGCGATTCGAAGTCATCCGCTGCCCGCACGATACAAAGCCGTGTCCTCGTTCTCTCAAGGTTCGGATGCTGCTGTTGCCGCCGTCCCGCGCCCGCCGCGATCTCTTGGCTCTCGGAGCTGGACTCTTGCTCCGCGACGACTTTTTTTTGTGCTGCCGCAGACACGATGCAGGCGCGCCAGGTTGGTGGACGAGAGCGTGTACTGTGCGAGTCGCGGGCGCTGCTGACGTGCACGTCGCGTCGGAGCGTCGGCGAGCCGGCAAACGGCGGGGAATATCACACTACCGTGACCCGAGACCGACCCGTGCGCGGGGTCTGTGTCCTCCCGCACGCATGTCGCGATGTGCGTTGGCGGTGTCGGTTCGCTCGCAGCGGATTATCTTATCCACCCATGCCATCCCAGCCCACGACTGCAGACCCGCATGTGTGTCGCAGTCGCAGGGGCGCATCTCCATTTCCCATGTGCGGGCAGCGGGTGTGATATATATCCGCGCGCCGCAGTGCAGGAACAAGGTGGGCGGCACAAGCGAGCGCGGGTGTCTGTGCTCACCTTGCGGCCTTCGCGGGTGTAGGTGTGCACGTCCAGAGCTCGAGAGCGCGGTGGCGCGCCAAGCGGTCCAGGGGGACGAGGCCGGGGGCCGGACAGGGGCGGTGCAGATGAGGGCCGGGACGGGAGGCGGGTGCGGCGGCAAATGGTGCACCGGGCGGACGGAGAGTGAGGAGGGGTGGGCTGGGTGTGAGCGGTACGCCACGTCCCTCGCTCGTTGCTTACTCTTTGCCTTCGCTCACCTCGTTTCTTGTTTGACTTCCACCTTTACTTGGTCGCTCACAAACTTACATGTACAGGACTGCCTTTGCTTACGCCGATGTACCCCATACTGAATCCACGCCGCCAACGAACGAGCAGCGGAGAGAGGGCGCGCGGGATATATGTACCGCCCCGGCCCTCCGCTTCCACTTCTTACTAACTCCTGCTACACGCCGATGGGGGGCGCGTCGATGCACGCTACGTGCGCCGGGCACGTCAGCATTATTGTCGGGGAAAGATAGTGAGCGGTGCGTACTTATTTTTACCTCCCTCTCTTTTATTTCGTTTTGCATTCCCTCCCTGTCTCCCTCCCTCGTCGAGCCCGCCCTCGCCCCCCTCGCCCGCCCTCGCGTACCTGCGATACCCGCGCACACCCGCGGTGTCAATACGGCACCAGGTGCTCCCTCGGCGTCCCATCTCCCTCGTTGTCCCCCGCGCGCGCACTGTTGAGGCGGCACCAATTGCCGTCGGCGGGGACGCATCTACGTATGCGCATGTCATGTGCGTGCGCGTCGAGTCCCCGCGCACCGCACCGCATGTCCTGCGCTGCTCGTCATCTGTGCCGCGCCCGCGCCGTCCCCGTCTCCCTCCTTCACCGCCCTCGCGCACCCCGCCGCCCACCCGCGCCGTCGAGTCGAGTGCAGACGGCACTAGATTCCGTCCGCGGAGATGCACTTGTGCGCGCCGCGTTGCAAGCCATCCCACCATCTCCCTTCATCGCCCCCATCTCCCTACCACCCTATCCCTCGTTCCCCGCCCTCGCGTACGTACGTACACACGCACCCGCGCGCGCGCGCGCTGTCGAGTCAATGCGAGACGGCACCAGTTGCCGTCTGCGCAAACTCGCACTCGGCGGGGACGCAGCTGCGCATGCGCACCCCACCGCATCTCCTGCTTGCTTGCGGAGATGCGCGCGGACTCCCGCATGCGCTGCTCGTCATCTGCGCCGTGCCGTCCCTCTCCTCTCCCACCGCCCCTCCTCTTCTCCTCCTCACCCACCATCTCCTTCGTCATCTCCACCCTCACCCACCCCATCCCTCGTCTCCCCGTCGCACTCGAGGCGAGAAGGCACTTGCTGCACAGACTCGCACTCCGCACGGGTATCTCGCGCCGTCTGCGTCGATAGAGTTCCCGCGCACGCGGCCAAGCGGGAGTTGCGCGGGCCGCGTTTGCGCGCCCTGCACATGCTGCCGCGAATTCACATCCCGCGGCGTCCGAGTCGTCCCGAGTCCGCAGCGCTACACGCCCCAGTGTCAGTACGTACATTACCTGTGTGATCTCGATTACTAAAAAATTGCTCGGGTTTGAATTGAATGAGGTCATGCTTACCGCGGGTTTGAAAATTGAAGCTGAAGGCTCGAAGATTTGAAAACTACCAAAGAGGCATCCTATAA